GAGGAAGCAGGGGGGGGAGCCATGGAGGGAATGATGGATAGGTGCAATAATGGAGGGAGGGGGCCGGCTATTAGGCTGTGAATAAAGGCGAAGACCTCATGGCCAACACAGAAGCTACACTGCCATTAGTCAAGAGCGACCAACAGCCTGCTAACACACACATACGAGCTCAGTGAAGCACAGCGTGACACTGTGAGACCGCTCTGGCTTATACAGCCAATTAGAAAGGAGGGGCAGAGAAAAGAGTGTGTGTGTGTGGGGTGGGGGGGAGATGGGGAGGATGTCAGAGGCAGACAGATGGAGAGGGAGGAAACTGAGACGAGAAACTGAAACGAGTGTGAAAATGCACGGTCACTGGTGGGGCGGCCATGAGAGCACGCCGAACATCAACAGCGAGGCAAATTCAGCTGCCCTGCATCGCCGAGGAAGAGGCTTCACACACAATGAATCCTTCGCTTCTGACATGCGGCAATCTCCCCGCATCCCGGGCCTGGATCCTCAGCATTAACAGACGTATTGATGCGATGTTTCCACTTCCCCGAGTGCAACATATCCATCTGTCTCTCATATAACCACGGAGCATCCAGCTGATGGATCTGCGTCATTCTCCTATAGCTCATGTTAAGCTGTGTTTACATCGTATGCAAAACAAACATGTGCTTATTTGCATCTGTTGAACATAAGCCCGCAGATATCACCATGTTTAGATATATTGTAACATCAGGCGTCGTAATGTCTGGGTTCATAACATCAACTGTGTTCGGTTCAATGAATTTCTGCAGGCGCTGTGCAGGGCAGACTAGCATTCAGCTACATGAGCTCTATCAGTGTCATGTTTGATGACATGCTGGCAAAGACAAAAAAAACTCAGATTAGCGTGGTCCAGCACCAGGACTGTTTTGATTTCTTGGTTGCATAAGAACAAATGTTTCTGAATCCAGGGAGTCTAGTGTCGGCGAAAAATCTGACTTTCCACATTTCACGACCCAAAATAAACCTTTTACTTGTGTGACTTCAAAGCATTAAACATGTCTTTGGCGTGCCACGACAGCTTGGCATGCTGACAACTCGTAGCAGAAATCTGTCTGCAAAGTAAGCCAAGAAAACAGCTATTACCGCAAATGTCAACACGGATTGGGCTTTTTTTGATGCAGGGTTACAAGCTGCAAAACATTTTAATCGTACATGACAAATTCGATGTGAAACCTTTCATGGCACAAGTTTGTCTTGTTATTTGCAACTTTGCATTGTCTCTAGGATTAAAATGTGCTTCAGAAAACGTGTGCATAGACTGTCTTATGAACGCAGCTTCAGGTTAAGAGAATAAAGGTGTTCCGTGCAGGCTACAAAACATATCCAGAAAAGTCTGCAAAGTTCTTGCCCCCCTTTTCTGTGTCTTTTTTTTCTCTCTCTGTCCCTGTTTCTGACTGTCAGCCTCCCCCCCCCCCCCCTCCTTGCACACAAACACAGCAATGATGTGTCAGCTTCCCTGCAGGGCGTCAGTCCAAATGTGAAATCAATAGTCTTGTCCCAGCCCTCAGGAGATCGGGTTACGTCCACATATACTTAAATATACACAGGGGCACAGGTGGTCTGCTGCAGTGGATTCAGACACACACACACACACACACACACACACACACACACACACACAGCTTTAAACATGATGCAGCACTGCAGCAGCAGACTGCTGAGAAGAAGCCAGACATTAAAAACAGGCTCTGGTTCAAAAGATGAGGCTGACTGCTCTGGTTCAAAGTGCTGCAGTGCTGTGAAGTAAAACGAACCAGTTCATGTTCTACGAGATTAAATTGCTGTTCTTGTCAATTAAGTTTTGTCTTCGGACACTCCTTGACCCTAAAATGAAACTTTAAGCACACCACGTGCCGGTTTCAAAGTGTTCAAAGCCCTCCCATCCTCTGTTTTGATCGACTCCACATAAATAAAATCATTATGCTGTCAACAGATTGTATTTTTCATCATCCTTTTGCTGCTTGGTCGAGCATAACAGAAGGTTACATCTGCCACCTGTTAGGGAATACAAAGCACAGTGGGTATACATACTGCACGAGCACACACACACACAAACACACACACACACGCATGAACAAGATTCCCCTCTGCAACACGCCAAGCATGTGCAATGAGAAATGCCAGCTGGGAATATCTTACACTGTTAGCTAACTACGTTTCCCATCTGCCCTTTAAATCTGAACCCCTACAGCTGGCCTCTGATTGGCTGCTGCTGAAAAGCGTCTTGTTATCTCCGTCCAAAGCAACTGTCCAAGGGTGTGTTTGTGCGTGGCATCAAGCAGAAACCAAAATATGTGCCAGCCTGTTTCCTGCCACACACCACCTCCTACGGCATTCCTGTCGGGCCAACTCTGCCGTCCTATCAAACTTGGAATTCACGCACACACACACACACACACTTGAGCATTTACTTGCATGTGTCTTCGGCAAAGCGAGGGGGATGGTTTCAAGGACGATCTCTTTATAAAGAGCGCCCAACGCTTGAATGAGGCGCAGTAGCAAACACTCAGAGCGGTGACGCGTTAACGCTGCATGTGTGATGAGCATGTTGAACAGTATTGACAGCTGAGTGTCACATTTAGTAAGCATCTCCACATGGCAGCTGCAACCCTCACACACGACACTTACTGACACAAACACACACAGCTGAAGAACCCTTCGTGAACCTCTTTAACCCTCTTCTTCCTGGAACAGTTGAAGTCTACAGGATGCAGGTATCTGACTCGCTGCCTCAGGGTTCATCTCTGCCGAGGTCCCGCTGTTTAAAAAGCAGCTTCTTCCTTCCACTGAGCTCTTTACACTAAACGTCAAAAATGGTCTGCGCCTTTGGCCAGTCTCACCTCCCACCTCCTGAAGGACATTTTTAAATCCTTGACAAGCTGAGGTTTGTAGCTTTTAGCCTGAAAAAACTCAAGTCTAAGCAAGGGTTCGCAATAGCAAGGAGTCTCCTCACATTTAGTCTGTAGAAGAGGGATGGGGCATGATTTTCAAATATTACAATAGTCACAAATCTATGGGAAAAAAAATGAGAAAGTTCATGGGAATATTATCTTAAAAATATTGATTTTTCCATTGTTTTTACGTTTTGTAGGTGGCTGCAGCACAGCTGGAAGCTGTTTGCTAACCACCATTTAAAAAGAAAAGAAGAAAACATCGGTACCAGGTGCCAGTAAAACAGCTGTGGCGCTGAGAGATTCTGAATCGGAGAAAGATGCAGAGACGTCTTGCAGCCATCAGAGAGTCCTGTGTGAAACTGCACTGTTACATAAAGCACAGCAGGCTGTAAATATTTGCCGAATGACACTTTAGTTTCTCTTATTCTGAGAGTTTTTACTGGGAGCTGAATCTTCCCAGCTGTTCCCTCATCTCTGGGCATTAGAAAATAAAAATCGTTCTCAGGCGCTCCTCTCCAGCAGGAGCAGGATGTCAGGAGGGGCTGCAGGCCCAAGTGCTGCAAACTTTTGAAGTTCGGCTTGTTTTTAGGTCAAGAATCCTTTCATGTTTATCTTTTAAGGCTTTTTACTAGGAGCCGAATTACCCACAGAAGTCTCCTCCCTCTCCAAAACATTAGACACAGTCAATAAAAACTAGTTTTATTACTGAATGAAGCAGACTGAGGTTCAAAATGTCTAATGCTTTTGGTCGACCTGAGGGAGCTGCAAGCTGAGCTGCCACTAACTTTGATTACCTTCACTGGTTAAATGTCAAACACTTTTGGTGATGTGACATGAAGCAGCAAATAAATATTGACTGGAATGTTAGATTATCCAGCTAACAGCCGGTGCTTTTGAGAAATTCTGATAAACATGCAGCTTACAGATGAGTCATGATAGTTTATAAAGGTGAAAATTGACAACTGAAAAGCCAAAGCTTCATATTGATGTCTAAAGCCAGATTTTAAATAATGATCAGCCAAATGAGGTAAAGAAGAAGAAAGGGTTCAGGTGATGAGTCCTGCATCTTTCCTCGGATGTTTGTCTTATTGACAGTGTGTATATCAACATCTTGACTGCCTGCAGAAACTGTGAAGGACCGTTTTGTTTCTTAAGTTGTTTGATTTCGCTTCCGTTCATTGTTCTACAACATTATGATTTGTGTGCCTCCTTGTGTACTCAGCCCTGGGCCTGTTATATAACTCCCTGTAGCAACTGTGATTCACTTCTTTTCATTTTTCTTACACGTTAAGTTGAGAAAAAGTTCATGGCCTCAATTCTGACTCACTTTTTTCTGCACAGCAACCAATGCCGAGCGGCAAAGGAATCTAGAACTGATTTCTTTGCGCGTTATCAATGTTTAAATTGTAAAAAAAAGGGGGATTTACTGATGTCCAGAGGATTAAAAAAAAAAACGGCTGTTTCTTCTCCTGCACTGCAAAACAAGTGGAAAGACTAAATCTCTTCAACTCAGATCTGTGATAGTGAGAAAATAAAGACTCACTGTACATCTTTTCTGCTTCAGACCACAGCTACAGTTCTCTCACATGTTTCTACTTTAGTGGGGAATTATCTCCTCCGGCGAGGAAGACTCTCCCGCCGACACAACCCTCAGAGGCTCCACTCCTCTTTCATTTGGCTTTGGTTTACAAGCTCCTTCTGACGGAGGCTGTTCATGGGGGTGAAGCCCTCCTTCTTTACGCTCCTCCAGCTCTGGATTTGCCTGTTTTTTTGTTTTTTTTTAACCACAACAAACACATTGATCCACACTGTCAACCGGGATTCCCTTTTCTGAAAAACGACGACACATGTTATGAGCACATGACGCCTCTGACACGCATGCAATAAAACCGGCATTTGAGACCACCGTAAATAGAGCTCCAACCTATGTTTCAACATGACAAACTGCGTGGCATTTGTGCAAGGACGTCTGAGTTCAGCTTCATCTACAGTTTTTCCGTCTATGCTGGAGGATTGATCACCTGCAGAAAGTAGAAAAGCCATTCACTCACTCTTCTTTACACAGAGTCTTACCTCTGAAGTGGCTCCTCCTCTTCCTCCTGAGGCTAAAAGGTCAGATTAAACCACCACTCAACTCCGTAGCCGGGCTTTTTATCCCCCTGGAAAGAGAGGCAAAATAAAGAGGTTTAGTCTATTTTTGTGACAAAAGCCACAGAAAAGCAATCTCTGTTCTCTGTCACGTCGTTAAAAAGTCTCTGAAATGCAAAACTTTTGGATCTGCGGCTCTGACTCGGGGAGAATTCAGAGGCTTGGCAGGCAGCAGCTGAAGGAGAGCAGAGTCGATTTCACTGTCGCAAGAATGCGGCGGATTAACTTTGGAGGGTGCTTGAGCGAGCGACTTAACTAAGTACAGACAAAAATGACACGTAGAGGCAGAGAGACACTTATCGCAGAGCTCTGAAAGCAATCAAGCGACGCTCTCTCTTCATTAGAAAGTCTCCGTCATTACTGCGAGATTAGGAATGTGGCGTTAGGCCTTCATTCAGCAAACTACAAAGACCTTTAAACTCGCGCGCACTGCAGTCGAGTCATTATGAACGCTTTCAGATGGATACAGGTTTTAAACCGTGTGCATGCACTCAATGCAAAAAACCCTGGCAGGAGAAACTCCCGAGTGAAGTCTGAGTGAAAAATTGGGCTGCTTGCGTTCACACACGCAGCTCCTCCTGGAAAGAGTTTCTCAGTGGGAGATTTCTGCAAGCATGAAAGCTCTATACGTCTTGTCTTGCCTCACCCGACGGGGAAAGTCTCCCGCTGTGAGGTGCGTGTGTGAACAAGGAAGAGATCAGTGGTAAGCTGGCCTTAAATTCTCGAGAAACGAAAACACAGGCTGATCATTCACATGAGTCAGAGTTAGAAACTCTAACTTGTGTATCAACTGTGACTCAATGCTGACAAGCATCTATCATTTCAACTCATCCACAACAGTGCTGAGTCATAGCAGCCCAGCCTTCCTCTATCTGTGACAATCTGCATGCTGAGTCATAGTCTGGTAATAAAATATAATGAGGGCATGTTAAACAGCCTGTTGGTTGTAGGGTTACAACATGCTGAGCTGGCCGGGGTAATATCAACTCTATGATTTGGTCGCAGTGTGTGTTTACTTTTTGTGTGAGAGGTAGGCAGCTGATGTTATGGCTAAATAGGAGGAAGATATTCCTGCTGGCCTCAGCTGTTCCTGCTTTTTTTTTTTTCTCTACACAGCAACTGTTGTTCAAACTCAGCATGAGGCCAGACTGTGTGTGTGTGTGTGTGTGTGTGTGTGTGTGTGTGTGTGTGTGTGTGTGTGTGTGTGTGTGTGTTTTCTTCCTGCAAACACACTTCTTGGAACAGGGAGAGTGTGTCAGGAGGAGTATGACTTTATGTGTCATGTACTAATGCGAGCCAAAAGTACACAATTGCCTCATCAGATTACAGGTCACCTCCCCCTCCAGGTCTCTCTCTCTCGCTCTCTCTCTCTCTCTCTCTCTGGTGTAATTTGCACACAGTTAACGTTTGACAACGCTCAGTCAACACAAGGCCGGTGAACAGGTGTGACAGTGACACATGGATCTGTGCAGCTGCAGGGGACACAGTTGCTGCAGTCACAACAGCAACAGGGGCCGCCCCCGCCTGCAGGCAGCTGGTGCCATGTTGAAAACAAAAGGAAGGCCTGCAGAACATGAACAGACAAACTTGACCAGCTCATGGGCAAAAACAAAGGTTGTGGTGTTGGGAATATTTTAAACCTCAGTTGTGGCAACAAAAAAAAAAAAAGAAAGACTGCCTCAGCTTGCAGTCATAAAACAGGCGGCAATGGCTGCAGCATTCATCCACAAAAAGCTCCTGTGACAACATTAAACAGAGAATTGTTGCAGAAATAGACTTCTTAGTAAATGTAAGAGCCTTAATGAATCAAAGCTCTAAGATTACTCACAGAACATGGGTCGATTGTTTCGTTTTTTTTGTGATTGTGTGCGTCACAGAAACATTGGGTACAAAGCATCTAAAGCACTTCAACATCACTTACTGAGGCAGCTGTAGGAAGCGCAGCAACTCTTGGATGTTTTGCATCTAAAACAGCTGATTTGTATGTGGAGTCTGGTAGTTTTTGAAGGCATCTTTTACTTCTGTGCTACGTGAACATACTTTGAATGACAATCTGAGTCTGCACCTATTGAACCTTTAAGTCATTAAGACTTTTCAACATTTTGGAAAGTCGAGTCAAAACACCTCAACTCCCCTTTAGGCGACGCTGAGTGACATTAACTAGAAACAGCAGCCTTTTTATTCCCGCTGAGCAGACTCCTCTGGCACTATAAAAACACACAACAACCCAGAAAGGTGCCCTGTTAGCGTGTCGCTGCCTCTACAGAAGTTACTTCTTCGTTGCACTTCACTTGCCTACACCGCTGGCCCACTTCAACAAGAGAGCGAGGGGGAACACAGGCTCCTGTGTGGTGGATACAGGTGTGTCCTTGTCCACCCACACTTCACTTCCCCCATTAACAGCAAATCCTTCGGGGGGGCATGCTCATTTCCGGTTCGAGGCGGGAAGTGGGTGGGAGGGCAAGGCGCCGGGCCAGCAGCGGTGATGGTGATGTCACAGCAGGAAAAGAAAGACAGGATTGTTGAAGGGGAAGTACAGAACATGAGTAAGCGGGAACAAGCAGAGGTGAATGAGAAATGCATGTGGTACTGTAACACCAGAAGACGTCTAACTCATCAGACTGTTTGCATTTAGCATGATGGACTAATCCTCTATTTATAGACACAAACTGTAATGAGTGTGAGTCTAACATGGCCACATCACAAGGCTGATCCCAAACCGACTGCACACACAGGAAAAGATGACACACAGACCACCACACAGGGTCTTTGTTACTCATGATGACACGCCACATTAATTGGGCACATCAGTGCGCCTTACATCCCTTAGGCACTTTCAAAGAGGACAGAAAACCCCCCGCAAAATTCTGCTCTTCATTTACAGTTGTTCCTGTTTATGCTCGTCATCAGTGTTTTACTGTTTTATAAGATTTCCACCCGAATCACCAGCTCAAACAATGTATTCTATTATGCTGTAATGATGCTGTACTTTGTATATTCTGAATCTTTGACATTTACATACGGGGGAGGCGCCAACTCGATTATGATCAGTAAAATATTCTTATTGACACCACACACTTGAGGATTATTTGGACAAATAATCAGTTGTGACGAGCCTCGGATCAAGCCACGCCCCCCCAGATTGATTTTTTTTGGGCGGGGGGGGTCAGCAAACTATTGCTCAGTCTTGCACGGTGATGCAGTTCTGCATTCAAGCTCCTTTCAAAAAAGTCAGAATATTGACATTTAGAACCTGCAAAATCCCTTCATGAAAATGAGCGGATTTCCTGATCTTGTTTTTTTTTTTTTTTTCGAGGTCACAAGTGGAAAAGTAAACCTCCTACACAACACTATCAACGACTACAGCCTTGAAACTTACTACAAACCTGAATCAACAAATCTCTCCACATAATCCTGCAGGAGTGTTGTAATGAATTAGATGAAATGTTAAAAATGTTAAATCCTCCCCGTGTGTTTCGCTCAGGAGTGTGCTTATTTAACGTGGTTCAAAACACAGCAGGTCGTCGACAACCCTGTGAGATAACGACACAACGATCTAACATTTTAAAGACAGTCATGTGACAGACACAGAGGCGTGACTGCTCTGAAGATACCCGCACATGATAGCATGAACACAGTGTCACAGTGACGCGGCAAGAGATGGCAGATTAATGATTAAAAGGTGCATTCCTCTCATGCTTGTGTCGGGTGATAAGATCAAATCTGGAAGTGTGAAATAGTTGGTGTAACACGGCGAGGAAAAGGCTGTGTGACGCTCTAATCTGGCTGTGACCTCTACTTCACAACACAAAATGGATAAACTTCCTAATTCAGCACTCGTGCGTATAATAACAAGACTTGGGGGGGAGATTTGACTGATCAGGAATCTTAATCGGGTTCCAGGGCGAGATAAGGCCTCAGTCAGCCCCTGACCCCGAGCCTTCCTGAGGTTTCATCGCGGTGAACCATGAGTCGGCCTGATTGATGTTTGGTCACAAAGCCGAGCTTCACTGGGGAAAGGAGCATTAGTATTGATCAGGGGATCGCTTTTAAAACAAGTCAAGTACGACTTAAAGAAGACGCTGCTGCAGAGGGGAGCGGGTGACCTCAACACAGGTTCAATACGAAATCACTTCAAAAGACGTCAATGTCGGAGTTTCAGTCTGAAGGCCTTTTAGGACAATCGAACGCGTTAAACTGCACACGCCTCCTCACTGTAACGACCCTGTGGCGTCCATGTTTCCAAAGAACATGTGTACTGTCTTTAGGGCCGCTATCCTGCATCCAATCTGATTTTTCTGACTCACTAATCTTCATGGGTGAACATCCTAACGAGCATTCTTTAAAACTCTACCTGCTGGACATTGGGCGTCGTGCATTAAAGAAATCCTCACATCAGTTGTTTCACAGGGCGTTCACTGCATCGGGGGTATTTCCTTTCACAATACTGCTCATAGTGCAATCACATTAAAAATGCAATAATAAACGAGCTGCTTCCTCATTTAATGTGCAATAACAATCATGGTGTAAAAGCATCTGATGTGCAAAATGTTCTTGTCAGGTGCAATAATATCCAAGCCCTACAATGCTGAAGACTCCACTCTGTTTGATCGATACTTTATTAATCCCATGAGGGGAAATTACTTTTACACTCTGTTACGCACTGGAGAGAGAGAGAGAGAGTGAGGCTGCACATGAAGGAGCAACAGGGGATCGGTGCCTTGCTCAAGGGCAACTCAACAGTGCTCAGGAAGTTAACGAGCACCTTTTTCAGCTCGCAAACCAATTTTCAGTTTGGTGACCTGCACCGGGACGTGAACCAGCGACCCCTCCGGTTCCCAGTCCAAGTCCGTGCTACTGCCGCCCCTTACATCAATTACATTGTTTTTATTACTGGAAAGAACCACAACATTTGACAACATGCACAGCCGTACTCCTCCGTGACAAATCTAACACAGCTGCCCATGTGGTGCACCTCATCGTAGGTAAGTAATCATACAAGGACTTTAAA